TCAGGGACACGCCCTTTGCACTGACATGGTGGTCCTAGACATGCACCCATATGATGCAATCTTGGGTTTTGACTGGTTGCAAGCACATAGCCCCATGCAATGTGACTGGGTCAACAAAACATTGGAGTTTGCTGAAGCTGGGAAGTCAATCAAGCTTCAAGGTCTGCAGAATCCACCTCTCCAAATATCTGCTATATCAGCAACCAAGGTATATAACTCTACCAAGGGAAATGATATATGGGCATTTGTCCTCTTAGATCATGTTCTAGACCCCATAGCAACCTCTTTGCAAGATAAACCACAACTCCAAGCTTCCATTCAAGACCTACTCCACACATATAGTGATGTCTTCCAAGAGTCTAAATCCCTCCCACCACAAAGAACATATGACCATACTATTCCTCTGATCCCTGGCTCTATTCCCATTAACTTCAAGCCCTATCACTACTCTCCTCATCACAAAACAGAAATAGAAAAATAGGTTAAGGAGCTATGGCGGTCAGGACTTATAGCACATAGTCACAACCCTTTTGCATCCTCTGTGCTGCTAGTCAAGAAGAATCATGGCTCATGGAGGTTTTGTGTAGACTATAGGAAACTGAATGACATCACTATTAAGAATAGATTTCCTATGCCTATCATTGAGGAGATATTGGATGAATTGTCTGGAGCTAGGTATTTTACCATGTTGGACATGAGGTCAGGGTATCATCAGGCCAGAATGCATCCTGAAGATGAGCATAAGGCAACCTTCAAGACACACCAAGGGCACTATCAGTTTAAAGTAATGCCCTTTGGTCTTACAAATGCCCCTGCCATATTTCAGTGCCTTATGAATCACATCCTGCAACCTTTCTTGAGGAAGTTTGTATTGTTTTTTCTAGATGACATCCTCATTTATAGTCCAACTTTGGAGGATCACATCACATTTGAGTCAGGTCCTGGCTGAACTCAGAAAACACAAGTTGTTCTTAAAGGAAACAAAATGCTCCTTTGCTCAGTCCAGTCTAGAATATCTGGGACACATCATATCTTCCTAGGGAGTTTCAACTGATCCCTCAACGATATCTGCAATGCTTCATTGGTCAGTGCCCACAACCATGACTGAGCTCAGAGCCTTCTTAGGCCTCACGGGTTACTATAGGAAATTTGTTAAGGGATATGGATTCATGGCTAAACCATTAACCAATATACTAAGGCTGAAGCAATTTACTTGGTCTCCAGAGGCACAATTGGCTTTTGACAACTTGAAGATTGCTATGACCAAGACACATGTGCTAGCTCTGCCCAATTTTCAGGACACTTTTACTGTTGAAATTGATGCATGCAGTGAAGGAATTGGTGCTGTACTCATGCAACATGGACAACCAAATGCTTATTTGAGTAAGGCATTGGGAGAAAAACATAGAACACTATCTATCTATGAGAAGGAGTTTTTGGCTCTGATTATGGCTGTGGAAAGATGGAGGCATTACTTGCAAAGACAACAGTTCCTAATTGTGACAGACCACAAGTCCCTAGCATACCTTAATGAACAGAACTTACATTCTGACATGCAGAGGAAGGCTATGGACAGATTGATGGGGTTACAATTCAAAATCATTTATAGGCAGGGCAAAGAAAATGTAGCAGCTGATGCCCTGTCAAGAGTAGCTCATCTTCTGTCCCTTCAAGCTGTTTCATCTGTGCAACCTGCCTGGATCTAGGAAGTGCTCAACTCCTATACCACAGATTCTCAAGCCCAACAACTCCTCAGAAGATTGGCAGTATCTAGCCCTGATGCTCAAGGGTACAGTCTAGACAAAGGATTGATCAGATACCAAGATAAAATATGGATTTGCAGTAACTCAGCTCTGCAAACAAGATTGATTGCTGCTTTTCACTCTAGTGCACTTGGAGGGCACTCAGGTATAGCTGCAACCTACTATAGACTCAAGAAACATTTCAATTGGACGAGCATGAAACAAGATGTGGATAGTTTTGTTAAGCAATGCTCAATGTGTCAGCAATCCAAGCATAGCAACACTCATCCCATGGGGTTATTGCAGCCATTACCTATACCTGAGGGGGTGTAGAGAGATTTATCAATGGACTTTATTGAGGGCTTGCCCAAGTCACAAGGGTTTAGTGTCATACTTGTAGTGGTGGGCAGACTCACCAAGTTTGCACACTTCATGCCAGTAAAGCATCCATATGCTGCAAGCACAATTGCTCAGATTTTCATGGACAATGTAGTGAAGTTACATGGCCTACCAAGCTCTATTGTCACAGACAGAGACACTATCTTCGATCCTCAGCAATTTTTGGAAAGAACTCTTCAAACTCTACAAAGTAAATCTAGCACTGCTTACCATCCACGGTCTAATGGACAGACTGAGAGAGTAAATCAATGTCTGGAAATGTATCTAAGGTGCTCTGTCCAAGATGCCCCCAAAACATGGAAAGATTGGCTATCCCTAGCTGAACTGTGGTATAATTCCACATTCCACACTGCTCTGGGATGTTCTCCATTCAAAGCACTATATGGCTATGAGCCTAACATAGGTGCTGCTCCTTCTGTTCCACCTGAGACAGCTCCAACAGTAGCAGAAGTGATTGAGAACAGGGAACTCCATTTGCAGGCTCTGAAACACAATTTGGCCAAAGCACAGAACAAAATGAAGCTTATGGCTGATAAAAAAAGAAAGACTTCCAATTTGCAGTGGGTGATCAGGTGCTGTTGAAACTCCAACCATATAGTCAGTCTTCAGTAGCTAACAGACCATTTCCCAAGTTGGCTTACAAATATTTTGGTCCATACGAAGTCCTCGAAAGAATTGGTTCAGTTGCTTATCGCCTGGAGCTCCCTGCAAACTCTTTAATACATCCCGTCTTTCACATTTCGCAGCTGAAACCGTTCCATGCAGATTACACACCAATCTATGATGACTTGCCTGTTCTTACTGATCTGGAAGCCGCAGCAGCTACACCGGCAAGGATCACTGAACGTCGACTGGTGAAGAAAGGTAACAATGCTATTCCACAGGTCAAGGTGACTTGGATCAGGCTTCCGGATTCAGCTGCTACCTGGGAAGACTATCATGTCGTGAAGCAGCATTTTCCGGATGCACCAGCTTGGGGACAAGCTGCAACTCAAGCGGGGGGAGGTGTCACGCCTGGTGTCACTGCGGAGGAAGAAGGCGCCTGAAGAGAAGACATATTCGTGATGGCGTATTATCATTTAGCTGTTTACATTTTCAATAATGTGTACTGACGTGTGGGCCCGGGAGGCTAGTGTCCGTAAACGGCACCTAAGTGCCTGAACCCTGTTCCCCATCCGACATTCAGACAATTAATCGAACTCGCCAAGGCAGAGGGGCTTGCCTCGCCGGCGTCCTCGTTCCTGTATCTCTTGTGTGCTCACGTCGGTGGCGACCTCGCCGGCGGCCAAGGGTGTGACACCCTCAAGGTATGCCTGGCGCCACATTCTCATTTTTTTATGTGTGTTCTACACATCTATCGTCAGTCTCACAGATGAGAACAACTACTGTTCTGTTCGTCATGGCATGTATTCTTACCATTAGTTGCATGTACTAGCCATTGTGTCATGCATTCACCATTGCACCGTTCCACTATTTAGTGTTCATGAGCGGTAAATTCCTATTTGATGGGGATTTGATGCACATCAGTTTTCTTGTTGAATAACCAGAGCAGGTTGCATCTTTGTCATCAGCAAGAGTAGCTAAGGAGTTCTGCTTTGCTGCTAGGGATGTCTTACTCCTTTATAAGGCTATTGTAATGGTTCAGGTTCGTGTATGTACAAACGTTGAATGATAGTTTTAGGTTTCCACATTATACCATGGTTGTACTTAAAGCAAATCACAGTGTATTCTAGTTTCAGTTCTATATTTCAGGCACTATTATTGTTTCATAGTAATTGACCTTTGTCAAATATTTTTCTTCTGAAGCTAGAGAAGCAATTTGATAGCTTAAGTCAAGTGGCTGCTATTGTTCACAATGACTTCTACTATTTGTCCCAAGAAATTCTGAGCTTTGCATTTCAGGTGTGCATCCCCAACTTGTTGCTGCTTGTTATCATTATTGATCTTGGGTTTTGCTTGATGTATGTTAATGTATTCTTGTTTAGAATTCTTGCTTACAAATGCAGATATGTAACAAACTATTTATTCTTTATCTTCCATGTACTTAAATTTTTTTTGTTACTGTATATACTCATTGAAATCTGTTTCATTTTGGGTTTGATACTAGGGAAGGCCTTACGATTGCACTGGAGGAAGCCCTGTTTGTTTCAGTCGAATATTGGTGATTCTAGCTTTTATAGCCCCTAGATGAAACAAATAGCCAGGTTTTGACCCTAGATTCCAGAATACAGGAATCTGCTCAACCGTAGCTTTTAGTGGATTGTAGCAAACCTGTTCGTCCGTTGCACTCCCCTTCCTGTTGCTACCACCTCGCTTCCTGCAACCAACACCAATAAAATTTTTTATCTGCCATGTCTGAGCTCATGTGCTGCCTCCAGCCCCACACACATCCTGATGGTGCACTTGGAGGCAGTGGAGCCCTTGCCGCCAACTACCACCACTGACCACTGGTCAAGGGACTTTGTGAAAACCCAAGTTGCAGCTTTAACTCACCAAGTTGCAGCTGTTTGTTGTGTTCAACTAATGCTTTCGTGTGATAAGATAGAGTGTTTACTTTTTCATAAAAACTAGTCTGCACAAGAAGAAAATAATCTATGCCTCGACGTCCTGGATTGATCTTGTTTACCTTCCAACAAAACAAAACCAGTCCCATGCTGCTGTAAATTTATTTTTCCTCTTTGGGCAACCAAATTAAATAGAACTTGTTAAGAGATATTTTTCTTAAGACATTTTATGTGTTTTCAAAATGAAATGCGTTCTGCTAACCTTTCTGGATGCTTTTGTCTAGTACCGTGCAGATTTTCCTAGCGATCTACAGAAACAGGTTGTTTTTGTGGATTTAGCCCCAATCTTCTCCAGATGGCAGATGTTGTATTGGGAAGACAAATACAACTCGCCGTTGATACTATAAGTGAGGTCATTAGATGTTTCTAATTATGAAGTTCTTTTCCACACACATAATTACTTCTAGTCGTGAGCTCTATTTAAATTTTCTAGTTCATTGCATTGTTTTTCAGGCTATAGATGGCGCTGATGGTTTTCAGAACACACACCAACCTCAGCATTATGAGTCAGCAAAATTTAGTATTGAACAGGTCTGTTCCATTGTTAAAAAGGATGAGCTTTTGAACCTTGAAAAATGATGTGGGGCTAGACTTCATACATATTTACTTCAAAATTTAGTTCGCTTGTTCATCGAGCTAATTACTTGTAGTCCCAATCAAACATTTCCCACAGTGGTGAAACAAGACAAAAAACCATGGTTTATAAGTCCAAATTTGTACTTTTAGCGATGAAGTTAACAAGGGGATTGTGTATTCATAATTATAAAATGAGTAAAATACGCTTCGCTATACACAATGAGTGGTGTCTTTCTTTTGTTTGATTTGGAAATGCTATAAGCTTGAGAAGTCTTGTGCCCTGTTGCTACATCTATCCAATCTTTAGGGATTTTTACCAGCACTCTCACAAATCATCCGAAGAACATTTTGCTTCAATCTTCCCTGGATCTCCAATGAAATAAAATTGTCTTCATGCTGTGCCAAATCTCAGCAGCAATCAATTTCAATTCTTGAAAGTTTTTTCAATTTTTCATCTCAATGGACATTTGAGTTATTGATTAAACATCATTATTTACTCTTGGGATCTATGGGTTCAATTCAGGTCGTGTTTATTTTGGAAAAGATACGAATCATGTGGGAATCGATACTGACAAGATCAACTTACAGGAAAAGTATGTGTCATGTCCTTGGGTCTGTCTTCTCTAGAATTACAAGGGATATGCTTCTAATAGATGACATGGCAGCAGAAGAGACATTGCAGGTGATACATGTTATGCCATAATGGTTTGAGGTGATAAAATCTTATGTTCACTAATATATATTCTTACAGCTGCAAGGCCTTATCCATTTGGCTCTCGAAAATCTCTCTTCACTATTTCTTTCCCTGGTTGAGAATGATGATGGCAGCACAAAGTTCTTAGACCATGACACTTGGACTCAATTGGATGGAATTCTACCATCTTTGAAAAAGTTCCGCAAGCTAGCAGGTATTTTGTTGGTTCTGATTATGGATTTCTTTTCATCTTTAACTGGTCTACTTATGTTTTTTTTATTCAAGTCAGATAACACTGAAAATAATTACTGTTCAGAGTTGCTTGATATGTCATTGAAGTCCATCACAGCATGTTGGGAAAGTGGAGACCTAGTTACATGTGGTTTCACATCATCTGAGGTGAGCAGGCCCAGCCCCCATCATTTTTTAAAAACCTTCATATAGTGTTTCGTATACAATATCAGAGACAACACTTTATTTTTTGCCATTGACTTATCGCATAGCCCCCCCCCCCCCGGCCCCACCCCACCCCCCCAAAAAAAATGTTCATGTGTATCTCAATCTGTGATTTGCACATCTTTTTCTTTGTTAAGGGAACTTCAGTATTCCTAATTCAAGCTGCTGCATGATAACTTTATGGTCTTTTCAATGTTGAACAATATACTAAATTCCAAGTCTATTTTCTTAGTTTACCCGATATGTTTTTTAATCATGTACAGGTGCAAAATTTGATCAAAGCAATATTCGTTGACTAGCCTCTTAGGAAGGAGTGCCTAGGATGGATCATTAGGACCCCAGCTTAGAATGCAGAAACAGCATATTTGTGTCTATGGGTCAATGTTTTTTTTTCATATTCTTTTGTCCACCATATAGTGAAGTATTAATTGGTATGAGCTCAGTTTGAACTGAAGGAGACAGACTTGCAATCTCTGACTCCCCAGTTCAATACTCACCCCACTGCCTGGACCAGGACTGATCAGATAATGCTAGCAAATGTTCATGTTAATATGTTACTGATGTCTTCGTGGTCTTAAGGGACATTTCCAAAACACCTTAAGCAAATGCATGGAGGTGAAAGGAGGATGGCCTGAGCTAAATATAGAAGCTGCATGGCAATCTTTGTAAACAAAGAACTCACCCAAGGTTATGAAGGACATACTGGGCTTGGAGAAGAAAATAGGCAAGAAAAAAAATGATCTTGAGTGACAATAAGATTTCATTAGAACCGTGAATTTGTGTCATTATATGCAATCCGTGATGCTCTTGTGATGAAAAATTATCACAGCGATCTGCCATGTAACAGGACAGGCGATGCGGCAATTTGGCTGAACCAAGATTGATTTGTGTGACACAAGCTCAATTTGGTTGGTACAATACATTTGAGTGGTACCAAAATTTGGCTGGTTACAATATTAGAATATATAAGCTATTCAGCAACTATCACGTTGAATAGTAATTCAACGGGTGAGCCAACAAATCAATTACAGTACAATCGTAGAGAAACTATCCACAAGAGTAAAATTATGAGCGTCAGATTTCCCATGCTGTCACCCACAATTATAAAAAGACCTACAAAAACCATAAGTTTGTTCCACCCACAATGTAAAAAGACCCACCAAACGGTAGTGTGTGCCCTATAACACGCACAATTAGAAAAAGACGTACCAAAACCATAAGTGTGTGCCACCCACAATTGTAAAAAGACCTACCAAAACCGTAAGTGTGTGCCCTATAATGACACCTTGAATAAATAAATACCCCTAACCCTAGATATCTCTCATTCCTCACTTTTGCACTCTCCTCCCACCCGGGTCACATAGTGGTGGCGGCGGTGGCTTCCTTCCTAGGGCAAGGCAGATTCGCTGTGGTGTCCCCTCCCCCCAACGGTGGTGACGGCTTCCTTCCCCACATTGGCAACATCGGCATTGCCTTCCCTGCACCTGGTGGCCGCAAATCCGCACATGGTGGTGGCAGCGTCCCTTTCCCAACACCAAGCGGCGGTGACGACTGCCTTCCCCGCATTGGCGACAACGACACCGCCTCCCCTGCACCTAGCAGTGACTCCCCTCTCCTACACATGGTGGCGGCATCCCTTCCCCTATAACTAGCGGTGGCGGTGGCTTCCTTTCCCACATTAGTGGTAGTGACATCGCCATCGCTGTACCTAGTGGCGACATCCCCTCTCCTACATATGGCAATGGCATCCCGTTCCCTACACCCAACAACGGTATTCCCTTCGGATGGACTCCTCTAGCCACAACAGATGATGAGCCTCCTCGCAACATCAGATGGGAGCTTTTTTGTGATGCACAAAAGATAAGAATCGATATGTATTTATTATTGATTTGGCAAATATTTTCTAGTAAAATTATATTTATCAACGCGAATGCTACTTTTCAGGCACGCACGCCCTAGAGGTGCAGCACGCACACCGCATTCGCCCACGCCTAACCATCCAATCACGTCCACCGTATTTGCCCACGCACCACTCGCTCGCGCCCGACCGTGCTTGCGCCGACAAAGAAGAAGATGGTGGTGGCTAGGGTTCTGGTGGCGGCGGTAGGTTCCACTACAAGAAATCTAGGCTTCTATGATGACCGCCAGATGACATAGCACCTATCTATCACAAACAGAGGTTGTTTGTGATGACTGTTCATAGGATGACAACTGTTTATGACCAAGTTGTGTTTGTATCATAAACATCGTCATAGTATACTCTGTATGGGCTTTGTGACGATAGATCCATGACAATAGTTGATCGTGATAAAATATAGAACTATTATAATTTTTACTCAAACAGACTTGGATAAAGAAATGATCAAAACCAAAGATGTAGTTACCGATGAGTTCTACAACTTTATTGTTGATGAGTTTTTCATTTAAAATCATTACTCTCCTAAAATTCTATTCGAAGTTCTCATATTTTGAAATTCAAAATTTGAATTGTTCAAACAAAGTCGGATATAAAAATGACCAAAACAAAAGTTGTAGATCTAAATGACTTCTACAACTTTGTTATTCATGACTTTTCCATCTGAAAAAACTTATTATCCTTAAATTCTTTTTGAAGTTCTTATATTTGAAATTCAAATTTGGAATTGTTTAAATAAAGTCGGATGGAGAAATGACCAAAACAAAAGTTGTAGATATTGATTAGTTCTACAATTTTGTTGTGATGACTTTTTCAATTGAAATCATTTATTGTCCCAAAATTATGTTTGGAATTCTCATATTTTAAAATTCAAATTTCAAATTATTCAAACAATGTCAGATGGGGAAATGACCAAAACCAAAGTTGTGGAGCTCGATGAGGTCTAAAACTTTTTATTTGGTGACTTTTTCATTTAAAATTATTTTTTCTCCTGAATTTAATCTAAAGTTCTCGTATATTGAAATTTATTTTTTTAATTGTTGGGCCAAATTCTGGGCTTATTTCATTTTTTGGCCCATTCTAATCCTAGACCCATTGCAGTTTTTCCATTATCAAGTAAATAGATAAAGCACATTATGAAGGTTCCAACCGACTAAAATGAAAAAATGGCCAAAACAAAACTTGTAGATCTTGATGAGATCTAAAAGTTCGTAGTTGACGACTTTCCCATTAGAAATCAATTACTATACCAAAATTGTGCTTGAAGTTCTCATAAGTTGAAATTCAAATTTTTGAATTGTTCAAACGAACTTGGATGAAAAGATGACCAAAATCAAATTTGTACATCTCGATGAGGTTTGTAAATTTTTAGTTTATGACTTTTCCATTTGAAACCTATCCCAAAATTTGGTTCGACGTTCTCATATTTTGAAATTCAAATTTTGAATTATTCAAACAAAGTCGGATAGAGAAATGACCAATACAAAAGTTACAGATATCGATGAGTTTTACAACTTTATAGTTGACAATGTTTCCATTTAAAATCATTTATTATCCGAAAATTCGGTTTAAATTTCTCATGTTTGAAATTCAAATTTTGAATTGTTCAAAAGAAGTTAGATAGAGAAATGACCAATATAAAAGTTGTATATATTGATGGGTTCTACAACTTTGTTGTTGACGACTTTTTCATGTGAAATCTTTTACTGCACGTTGTTCATAAATAGATACATCTCTCACATGGTTGTATAGTCCCACTTTATAAAAAGTGCTTCAAAATTTTATGCAGTGCTCATGGACTAAAAATATGTTGTTGTGTAAATTTGAAAAAAAATTGACGAAATTTAGTTATTATTGTAATCATTTGTTGAATTGTTATAGAATAAATGTAATAATATCTAAACTTGGTTAGAAAAATCTACAAACTTGCGTGATAACATGGTTTTGGTGTATAATCGTTGCATAAAAATTTCAAAGGATTTTGACAAAATGATACTGCACAATGTTCATAAATGGATACATCTCACACATAGTTATATGACTTGGTGAGAGATGTTTGTATTTGTGAAGGATGTATAATCTACTTTGTTGAAACAAAGTTGGATGGAGAAATGACCAAAACAAAAGTTGTAGATCTTGATGAGTTCTACAATTTTGTTGTGGACAACTTTTTCATTTGAAATCATTTACTATCGCAAAATTATGTTTGAAGTTCTCATATTTTAAAATTCAAATTTTGAATTAAAACAAAGTAGGATGGGGAAATGACTAAAACAAAAGTTGTAGATCTTGATGAGTTCTACAACTTTGTTGTTGATGACTTTTTCATTTGAAATTATTTTCTATCCCAAAATTCTTTTTGAAGTTGTCATATTTTGAAATTCAAATTTTTGAATTATTCAAACAAACTCATATGGAGAATGGACCAAAACTAAACTTGTAGATCTTGATGAGGTCTTTAACTTTGTAGTTGATAAGTTCATAGGTTTTGTGGTGCTTGTTATAAAAAGTATAACTCCTATGAAGAAGGAATTGCTGCCTTCAAGTCAAGAACCAACTCAAATCCACCCTTAGCTCATGATGATGACTTCTATCTGCAAAACCTAATAGTTGCTCCACCCTCTTTCTCCTTCAAAACTATTGTAATTGTAGTCCTCTTAATCTTTGTCTGTCTCCTATGGAAGAAGCCCTGAGCTCGTGTACCGATTGTAAGTGTGATGGTTAGACTTGATTTAGCTATAATTGTAATGGTTACAGCTCCATTAACTGCTACTCTAGTTTGAGTAATATATATCCATATGGTGCTACTATAAATTTAGATGAGGTCATACTATGAAAATTGTTAATGGTTGTTAAAGTTACACTTTGGTATCAGTTGTGGACTTCACCGATGGATCTTTGTTCAATTATTTTCTCCTTTAGTGATCTCAATATTGAGGAAGCTCTCACGGAGGATTATTTTCCCCTTCAGTGATCTCAATACTGACGAAGCTCAGGCTCCCAATAAGAGGAACACACTGGCCAACCTCACAGAAGATGTTGTTTTTGAGATCCTCTGCCACCTCCCCGCTCGCTCCTTGTTCTACTGCAAATGTGTCTGTCGCTCCTGGAGAAACCTCATCTCAAACCCCAACAACCATAAGAATCTTCCCAAGACTATAGCCAGCTTCTTCTATGACAGTGAGAACAGTAATCGAAAGTTCACCAGTGTCGTCCCTGGTGTACGCCCCCCTCCTTGGAATTCTTGCCCTTCAACATTGATAATGTAGCTGTCTCAGATTGTTGTAATGACCTCATCCTATGCTGGTGCCTTGGGGCTGATGGATATTGCTGTGTCGTCTGTAATCCAATGACCTAGAAGTTTAAAATTCTGCCGCCTAGTAC